ATCCAATTAAATGTAACACATAAATAACAACCATCATATAATAAAAACAATTCATTTATTCTGAAAAAAAAGGATGGTTAATATCCTATAGTGAAAGCTAGTAGACAGAAAAGCTATACCTCCTTCTTCCAAACTACATACTCCAAATCATAACAGAAAAACAAATTAAAACGAGCATTCTAACAAAGTACATAATTATTTTCTCTTCTTAGCAGGTGGCAGGTCCTCATCATCCTCATCCTCTTCATAATCGTAGTCGTCGTCGTCGCTCTCATCATCATCCCCATCATCACTATCGTCGTCGTCGTCGTCGTCATCGTCGTCGTCGTCATCGCCATCATTCCCTTTGTTGGGAGGCATAAAATCGTCCCCAGAATCTTCATCATCATCACTTTCTGATTCATCAGATAAATCTCCGTCATCGCCTGAATCATCATTTTCCTCGTACATGTAACCATCATAGTTATCGTCATCATCTTTATCATCATCTCCATTTGTATCACTATTATCGTTATTATTCTTAAGTCCAGTTTTATTCTTTTTCATAAGCTCATTAAACGAAAACAGTTTTTCGAGACTTATTAACATAATAATAAGTAGCAGCTCATTAGCCAAAAAGATTTTTGAAACAACAAATTCCGCCATAAAAGTAGCTATTATATCAAAACTAAAGCCATTTGCTTTCATTTCTAGTCCTAAAAAGGAAAAATAGCTCAAAAAGGAGACAAGACCTAGAGTACCAAAAGCCATTGAGCTTTTAGCAGATTAAAAAAAAAGGAAAAAACAAAGATCGAATGGAAAAACTCCAAATTTTGTTCGTACGGACATATAGTTTGGTGACCATGGTCAAATTTATAGGAAAAATTCTGTGTGATATTATGTGTAACATTATTACAAGAATCCAGTGGTAACTAACTGCAATTAGTATCCAAAAACAAAATAAAGTAAGTTGTTAGTAATGGTTTAGTATCATTCCAAAACAAGGTGGAAAAAAATCTATTACAACTCATCACTGCTTACGCATTATTCATATGCTATCAAACATTTTCGTGATCTTTATTCCCCTTGGATATCAAAAAATTTATTCATTTGATTCCAAAACCTGATTGTTTAATAATTTTATTTCAAAACAAGGAGGACATGTTGCGACCAAACGCACACGTAAGTATACGCATTCGTCAAGTAATAAAGTGACTAGAAGTCGAATGTCGAACTCACGAGGACTTGTTATCATCATTAAGTAAATTAGACTATCCTAGTTATCTAAACAAGGATTAAACTTAGAAGTGTTTGACTCTAAACTAATTAAATAAAGGAAAATAAATTGTGAACTCTAAATAAAGAAGAGCAAATTACTATATTACCAATGGGATGAAAACGATACAGGGTTATAGGCTATCTAACAATTTTATTGTATTCTTCATTTATATTGACTAATTAATTTATCTGATTTATTGGTTGATAGGGTTAATATTGCTCATAAGAATGTATCGAGTTGTTACTCGTCTATTCAAGCTAACCTAATGCTTATATATCTATAGAGTTAGAATTAAAAAAAATACATTCATAATTCCCGTATAATAACCAAGCAAGGCAATTAGCATATGTCTGTCCTAGCCGCAAATCCATTCCTTGATGCCTAGTTCAAGAACTTGATCTACCCAATCCTATATGCAATCCAGAATTTTTATTTTCAAGTTCAATTCTAGATTTGTATATAGCATTCAATTGTTGATCAAACAATCAAGTAAATTAAGAGCATGGCTAAATAAATAAACTAATATAATAAATCAAAATCAATATAATAACATTAGTCATTGAGAGAACCACAACCCTACAACGTGAAGTTTAGCTCCACGTAAACATCCACATAAACATGATAGCCAAACGTTATATCATCCAAAGAAATATAAAGTTGCTAAGTTTGGCGGAAGAAATATAGTTCAACGGCGTCAATTTCTCTCTCTAGAATGAGAGCTTCTCTCAGCCCCGCTGATGATGAGAAAATCACAGACTACAGGGAGGGGACGTCAATCGAAAGATAGAAATCAAGGAATAACCATGGACAAAACGGTAATACCGAACTCTGCTGATGCGAAGAAACATCGTAGCATTAATTCAATCCAAGGAATAATACCATTGGATCCATCCATGGCGTCCACATCGAAAACACAGCAAATGAGTAATTCAGCAAATAGAGAAGGGGGAAGTGTGGATCTAAGCTCGGGGAAAACATCCTAGGCTGACATGGTGGAAGAGGAAGCCATAGGTAGTGAGAACAAAGTTACGCAGTCGAATTTAATTGCAAGCCATAAATCATGGAGTCGTGTAGTTGGAACAATTCCGAGTATAGAGGGGATAGATATGAGCAAACCATTAGAGTCATATGAATGTGAATTACTTTGGATGACATCAAAGACGAGGTAGAGTATTAGGCATCGGCGATGGTCTGCTATGTCCTACGTTCTAATCCTCAACAACCTGTAATGGATGGTTACTTTCGGAGGATATGGGGAAATTAGGTATTGATAAGGTTTTACAAATTAGTCGAGGTGTATTCATTGTTCGTTTGCATGATATGGAGAATAGGAACAGAGTGGTAGACGATGGAGTCCAAATGTTCGACAAAAAGACAGTCATAGTAAAGCCATGGAAACCAGATATGAACTACTCTAAAACTCAAATGGAGAAGATACATGTGTGGGTAAGACTGTCGGGACTGGACATTAAATACTGGGGCAAGTCTGCTCTGACTAAAATAGCAGGGTTGGTTAGGCAATCTCTCAAAGCAAATAGTGCAACTACGCAAAGGGAAAGACTAACATATGCTAGAGTATTGGTAGAGACTGCATTGAACCAAGTATATTCAACATCAATAATATTTAAAAATGAGTATGGCAAAGTTGTGGTGCAAACTGTAACATATAAGTGGAAGCCTGTGTTATGTGATAAATATGGTAACTATGGCCATGAAATTAAAGAATGCGGGAAATTCCTTAAGGAAGAAAAGGGTAAGCAGGAGAAAATAGAAGTAAATAAAGACCAACAGGGGCAGGGAAAGACAAGTGAGATCAGCAATGGCTTGGAGAAAACAACAGAGGTAGTGAACAAAATGCCTGTAGAAAAGAGGGAAAATCATAACAAACAAACAACAGGCAAGCAAGTTAACTAACAAGTGTCACACCTCCTTTTTCCGCCCCCGCGAGGGGTACAAGGGAGTTTTTTTCAATTAAAGGACAATCGAAACGAGATTTATTTATTTATTTCAGAGTCGCCACTTGGGAGATTTAGGGTGTCCCAAGTCACCAATTTTGATCCCGAATCGAGGAAAAGAATGACTCTGTTTAACAGTCTGCGCACCAGAAATCCGGTAAGGAATTCTGTTAACCCGGGAGAAGGTGTTAGGCATTCCCGAGTTCCGTGGTTCTGCACGGTCGCTCAACTGTTATATTCGGCTTGATTATCTGATTTTATACAAATATGAACTTATGTGCAAATTTTATCTTTTTACCGCTTTCATAATTGTTATTATTATTTTACAAGAATGTGAACATCGTTTAAAAACATGTCTTTGGATTGCGTCACATAAAATGCACCCGCGATCCGGAACGTATTTTTATTCAATGTTTTAGGATTTGGATTTGGGTCGCATAAATGCGCACCCGTGTTTAAGAATGTATTATTATTAAATCGTGCCTAAAGCGATTAGCGTATTATTATTTATGGGTAAGACTGTGGAATTCACTAAACAGTCCATCCCGAATTCTAAATACTCAATTAAATATTTATTGAGGGCCCCACAATTTTGTATTTTTTATTCGGCGAGGCTCGTCTCATTTATTTTTAAAAGACAATCCTAAAATGCCTACATTATTCTCTATTAAATTTGTCTCTACAAAATAAAATAAAAAAAAATGTCTTAATTTATTTATAGGTTGAAATTGACCAATAATATTTAATTAAACAACATTCTTCCAAGTTCCAAAATGGTCTAT